CAGAGAGAGACACAGCGAGAGAGGGAACACAAGCAGGGGGAATGGGAGAGGGAGAAGCAGGCTTCCCGCTGAGCAGGGAGCCCGATGCGGGGCTCGATCCTAGGACCCTGGGATTATGACCTGAGCCAAAGGCAGACACTTAACAACTGAGCCACCCAGGCACCCCAAGGCCAGATCATTTTAAATACCCACCCCTAGTGTTTGAGGGCTTTGATTTTTCCACATCCTTGCCATCACTTGTTATCTGACTTTTGATTTTGATTCATGTTTTTCTGATGACTACTGATGTTGAGCATCTTTTTAAGGCTTATTAGCCATTTGTCTATCTTCTTTGGAGAAATGTCTATTCAGATCCTTTGTCCATATTTTAATTGGGGTTTTTGTCTTTCTTCTATTGAGTTGTTAGAGTTCTTTATATACTCTAGATACAAGTGTTTTTTCAGATATATGAATTGTAAATATTTTCTCTTAATCCGTGGGCTGTTTTTGTTTTTTCATTTTTTTGATGGTGTCCTTTGCAGTGCAAAATTTTAAATTTTGATGAAGTCCTATTTATCTATTTTTTCTTTTTTTTTGTTTGTGCTTTCAGTGCCATGTCTTTGAATCCTTTGCCAAATTTAAAGTCATGAAGTTTACCCCTAATGTGTCCATCTAAGAGTTTTGTAGTTTTTGCTCTTATATTATGGTATTTGACCATTTTGAGTTAATTTTTGTATATAGTGTGAGGTAAAGGCTTCTTTTGCATGTGGATATCCAGTTATCCCACTACCATTTGTTAGAAAGACCATAGTTTCCACATTTAGTGGTCTTTGACACTCTTGTCAAAAATTAGTTGACCATAGATGTATGGGTTTATTTCTGGATTTTGAATTCTATTCCATTGATCTGGATGTCTGTCCTTGTGCCAGTACCAACTGTCTTGATGACTGTTGCTTTGTAGTAGATTACTGCCTGTTTTCTTCTAGGAGTTTTATGGTTTCAGGTCTTACATTTATTCTTTAATCCATTTTGTGTTTATTTTTGTGCATGGTGTAAGACAGTGGTCCAATTTCATTCTTTTGCATGCAGCTGTCCAGTTTTCCCAGCACCATTTATCAAAGAGACTGTCTTTTCCCCATCATATATACTTGCCTCCTTTGTCATAGATTAATTGACCATATAAGTGTGGGTGTACTTCTTGGCTTTCTATTCTGCTCACAGTTAATTGTAAAGTCCATGCCTGATAATTTGGTACTATCTGGTTCTCCTATAGGTCTTTTTTTTTTTATTGTTTGTATTTTGTCTTGACTCACAAGAGTCAATTCTCATATTCTTGACTGTTTCTTGATGTTGGACATTGTGTGTGAGAAACTCTAGAGATAATTTGAGACCCTGGATGATACTATATTTCATGAGAATGATGACTTTACTCACATGACTTGCATCATGTGTTACTTAAGAATCCTTCCCAGGTAGGTTGACTGGCTGGCTCAGTTAGTAGAGCATGTGACTCTTGATCTCAGGGTCATGAGTTCAAGCCCATGTTGGGCATGGAGCCTACTTAAAATTAAAAAAAAAAGAAAAAAAGAATCCTTCCCAGTAAAGTGTTTAGGTAACCCTGGTCCATTGACTGGCACTGTTGTTCAATATAAAACTACTTCCATTGGGAAAACACAATCTTAATTATCTATATCCTCAGTAATGTAGTTAGAGATAAGATGCTAATACTTCTCCATAAGAATATATAGTGGGCAGAGAAAAAATGAAGTAGTAAATGGTTTAAAATAAATGAGTAAGTCAAAATGATGAATGATAGTGAAATTAACAGATCAGTTTGAATACTCATAAGAGATCAAAGTTTACTGATGAAGGCAGTAAAATATTTTCATCAAGGACAAGAAAAAGTTTGCTTTTTAACTATTCCTCTTTATAAATCTCTAAGGTGGGAGCATTTCTTTTTTTTTTTTTTAAGATTTTATTTATTTATTAGAGAGAGAGGGAAAACACAGAGGGAGAGTGAAAGGGAGAGGGGAGAAGCAGACTCCCTGCTGAGCAGACAGCCTAATGTGGGACTCTATCCCAGGACCCTGGGATCATGACCTGAGCTGAAGGCAGATGCTTAACCGACTGGGCCACCCACGCACCCTTAAGATGGGAGCATTTCATCTCTTATTTTGCAAATGAGATAAGACAAAGGTATAGAGGGGGTAATTTGCCAATATTTTCACAGTGAATCGGTCAAAGATTAGGATCCAGACTCAATCCTTGTTCAGACCAAAACTATAAGCTTCATGAAAACCTGAACAATGACCTAAAAAATGACTCAAATACTAGACTATTCTCATTTCTGTTACCAACTATCCTATAATCACAAAGAAGCTGTTTATCATCATTGTCTTCTTAACAGAATGACTGAGTGAATTAATGCCTATTATAGAAAACTGTAATTTGTAGTTTCTGAGTTTAATGCATTTGGTTCTCAGCTGAGAAGACAAGAAACTTAAGGGTATAAACTGTCATCAAAGAAATAAATAGTCCATCAGTCAGAACAGCACTGACTGCACCGTGTTTATTCACTAAACATTTGTTTAAGAACTATTCTTTGCAAGATTCTCTGCTAGGGCCTAAACTGTAGGATAATAAAAAGATGAAAAGAAGATATGCCCCTATCCTTTAGTATTTTTGTAATTTATTATTGCAATGGTAGACTTATGAATACTTTTAAAAGTTAGTACTTTTCTCACTTTTCTAGGTATCTCTAAAATTATTCCAAGTTTGGTTAGTTCTCTAGAATTCTGTTCTTTCAAGTTGGCAAATGTCCTGGAGTTTCCTGAAATGCTTCATGACGAATGGGAAGGAGTTAATGAAAAAGTTAATGAAATGAAATCTCCGTTGGATGCATCAATAAACATTATTGGTACCGTTCCTCAGTATATGGATGTGGATTCTGGCCCGTAAGTTCCCACAGCTTTCTGCTGGATGGAAGGGAATCCCCACTTCTCAGCTGCATTTTCCCAGTACCTAGCCTCAGCAACAGGCAACTGGGGTCACATATAGAAGCCTTGGAATTCTTCTGCCTCCCAGGAAGAAAGCCCTCTGACTGGGAGCTGGAGGGTGAGGGAGGGAGTTCTGTGTTCTTGGCTGCAGCAGTCTAGAGTGGAGTTTCTGCCTCACTGAGCTGACAGTGGAAAGAGGAGGGTAGTCTTGTTTTTAAATACCATAGGATCTTGCCTTTTTTATTGAATTTTCATAGATTGTCTTGAAGACACGTTTCTTCAGTTGCTCTTTGTCCTTAGGACGTTTCTAGAGGCTTTCAGTGTTTTGGTTTTGTTTTGTTTTTAAAATAATTCTCACCAGCTTCACTGGGAGGGTGAATCAACTTTGCTCCTCACACTCTCACGTTGGAAATTGATCTCTTGAGAATTTAAAAATTCACTCTTCTCATTTTGTGGTCTCACTGCCTAGAAGTGAATATAAAGGGTATGAGTGTGAGTTTTTACAATAGAGAGCTAGCACTGGAGGTAAGATCTACGTTGTTCAAAGTGCATCATGCCAGTTGCTACCTGCCCATGGTTAGGAAGGCTGTGATAGTGAGTAAGCCATTCTACCAGGTAATTCAGGGCTTTGATTCCCCTTTCCCTGAATTCTCAAATAGTTGTCAACACCTACATTTCCTAGGCCCCGCCAAATAAAACCCTTTCTTTTAGCTGATAGACTTTTACACTCTAAGTATATCTTATATTTATTTTACTTGATTTTTTCCTTCAGGGTACTCCAAGCACAAATATTTAACATGATTCAACAGTGGCTTTTGAAGATAAGCAATGAGATTAACAATGGTAACATTGAACTTCAGCGCCATGTATGTACTTGTAGGGGTTTGTGAAATTATATTTTGCCTTGGCTGGGAGTTTTCTTCAAGGAAAGACTAGGTCATGCCCATCCAGCTGAAGCAGGAGGTTAGGAGGGCAAAATGGGAACTTTTGTGATATAATTACTCATGATTTGCAGGGATTTTTTTTTTTTAAAGATTTTATTTATTTATTTGACAATGAGAGAGAGCATAAGCAGGGGGAGTGGCAGGCGGAGGGAGAGGGAGAAGCAGGCTCCCCGCTGAGCAGGGAGCCTGACGTGGGACTTGATCTCAGGACCCTGGGATCATGACCTGAGCCGAAGGCAGTTGCTTAACCAACTGAGCCACCCAGGCGCCCTGCAGGGATTTTTAAATGTAGTATGTTCCTGCATTTGTAATGAAGTTTCAGAGATGATCAAAAGTTTCAAGTTCTAATTATAATCTTTGCTCTTTACTCAGTATACTGATTTTTCCCCCCTTAATAAGTATTAATCTGGAATGTGAACATTTTAAGGATTTATGTTGGTGCTCCTGCCTGGCTGAAGGATGACGAAACATATTAAGAAGAAAGACAGGATGCCACAGTATTATTAGTCTATAATTTTTAGCACAAAACCTGTGAACTTCTTTTTTTTTTAAGATTTATTTATTTATTTTAGAGAGAGAGAGAGAGCACACATGAGCAGGGGGAGGGGCAGAGGGAGAGGGAGAAGGAGAGAGAATCTCAAGCAGACTCCCCACTGAGCACAGAACCAGATGTGGGGATGGATCTCACAGCCTGTGATCATGCCCTGAGCCCAAAATCAAGAGCCAGACGGTCAACCGATTGAGCCACCCAGGCGCCCCTGAACCTGTGGACTTCTTAACCAGCACAACATGAAATAATAATTTCCAAAGGCATAGTTTACTTCATTTACTCCTACTGCCTAGTCTTAATTATAATCTAGATTTACACAGGAATCTCTTATTATAATTAAACTTAGTATGCAAATATTCGATCTTACAAAATTGGTAAAATGAACTTAATTCACTTAAATATTGCTTAAATTAGGAATTTGAGGAGCGCCTGGGTGGCTCAGTTGGTTAAGCAGCTGCCTTCAGCTAAGGTCATGATCCCAGGGTCCTGGGATGGACCCCCGTGACTGGCTCTCTGCTTGGTGGGGAGTCCGCTTCTCCCTCTGCCTCCTACCCCCACTCATGCTCTGTCTCTCTCTCTCGGTCTCTCTCTCTCTCAAATAAATAAAATTTTTTTTTTTTTAAAGATTTTATTTATTTATTTGAGAGAGAGAGAATGAGAGACAGA